CAAATGTAGTTATATATTTTTCCCCCCATTTACCAGCCAGCAGAAAAACGTCGGATGCACTCTGGAAGCAGCGGCCTACAAGGCAGCATATGTCAGTCACATTAGAGCATCTCAGTGAGTGGACGGCCTGACCTCGAGCCCTGGTGAGTGGTCGTGGACGACCATCTGCATGTGCTGCAGTCTGATTACAGCCGGGCACATACATGTATGCATGCGTGTGAGATATCGAGGGCTATGTCAGTTTTGCTGATGTCTCTTTGTTCAGAAAGATCAAGCAGATAATCGGGTGAATATGTGATTTTACTCATTTTTAAAGAGGCATTCTGCACAGAAACGTGGTTCAGTTTATTGCAGTTTGATATTGTTTAACAAAAACAGACAGATGATTTATTCTGAACATGTTTGATGTTTGGTTGATTATGTTTATTATTCCCCTGCAAGTCAGCAAATGTTGACAAGATGTCATGGTGAGATTTTGTAGTTTGTGCACTAATTTCACCTCTGTCAGTGGCCTCAATAGACCAGAATGCAATGCAGCGACAAGACATGTCCTTTATGAGTGAAGATTCAATTTATCTTTAATGCTAGCGGCTAAAACACAAAGCATGGCTGAGAAGAATGTGAATAACCTATTGGTAAAGACATGTACTTTCTGAGTATGTGGAGTCTCACTTTTATTTTTGACTGGAAAAACATTTTGCTGTTACTATCACAAGATTATACCCAACAGCAAGAGCATGCAACAAGTTCTACTCTATATCGCACAAACCTTGAGGGACAGTAGGGGCACCAAAAAGCAAATTACAACAATTCATCAAAACTGGGAGAAAAATAGCCATTTGGTCCACAGAGAGACACATACAGGTCATGCTCGATGCCAAAGAAACACACACACACAAAACCTCTCACAAATGTCTCCTGCCTCATATCAGTGTGGACGGTTTCTGCACAGTACCTCTTCAATGTGGCTTTTTTTTTTTCTGTCTTCCAAACAGGTTCATTTGGTGGCCTGAATTTGTGTCCCAGTCATCAAGGAAGTGACCCTGTGCTGCTGTGTGGGACCGGATTTCATCCAGCGCATCTCTCGGCTGCTGTTGTTCGGCAGCAACGTTGTAAGCGAGTAACCTGCTTCATGACCCATACTGTTATAATGAGGTATAGCTGTTGAGCAGAGCAGCTTCAGAGTTTCAGTCATCTGTGATAGTCTGATTTATTTCTGATTGAGACACGCTGATTTTTCAATGTCTACTTGGCACGTGGTGACATACGTCGAGAAATAACATGCCTCGTTTATTTGGACTGTGTTCAGCAGTTAGGCTGAGTCAGCTACACTTGATTTTATCGCCACTGAGGAGAGTCTACTGACAGTAATGACTGTGTACAACAACTTCAGGGTTCTTTTGAAAATACAATGTTTATTGTTGCATGAATAAATACTCAAATCTGGGAACCTCTCAGGTTTCTGAGGAATTCCTGAATCCTGTGAAAACCATCTGCAACAGTTCCACACTGCAAAAGTTAAAAACACAAGTAATGTGACGCACTTCCTTTCTCACAGTGGCTGAGAGAGTGAAGCAGGCGATGTAATGAACGGAAGAGAATGGAGAAAAATTAACACACACACACACACAAAATGAGAGGGCGGACAAAGGAAACGCGTCAGTCATTTTTCCAACTGGGAGCAAAATGCTGCCATTTGGCTGGAAACTTCCCATCACATGTGATGGGAAGTTTCCATCACAGCAGCATGTGACTCACCTCACGGCTATAATAGATTTGATCGAATCTGTATGCAAAAATGACGCATTGTTGGATGTCATCAGAAAAATAAACAGCTTCGTGAAATGATGGGACTGGACACAAGTAATCCCGCAGAAGAAGTCCCCTTTCACCTGATGACTGAAGCTCTGCATATGCTGCAAGTCACTGCTGATGCAGAGTGAGGACTCCTTCAGAGGTTTATCTCTAAGGAAGTTTAAAATCTGCTGCCACCGGCTGATAAACAAGCTGCACATATAGCTGCCTGAAACCAATCTGAGGCAAACTGTGAATCCTTCTGTCACAGCTCAACATGCGGTCGAATGTTGGAGGCTTGCAGGCCGCATCTAGAGGCCGTTATACCTTTAAAAGAATAACAAGACATTCATTTCCATTGCTGAGACATTTCCACGTGGAATTTGTTGTGTTGTGCAGTGGTACATGCAGCTTTAGCACAAGAGCATTTTGTAGTTTTGTGCATTTATGAGTGTTTATGCGTAGTGTGTGGTTGAGTCTAATTAAAAGCCTTCATGGGTGGCAAAGCGTTATTCCTTGATGCAGCTGTGACAATAAAAAAAAAGCACTGTTATTAAATTCTATTATCAGATTTGCAATGCCCTAATAAGACTCACCTCCACTGATAAGTCCTCTGAAAATCAATCAGATGCTGAATGATTGATAGCGACGCTTGTATGGGATCTTAGGCTTATAGCATATAGGCTTAAATTGATCATGTGGGAACTGGAGATAGCAGTGGTGCAACTGCCAAAGCCCGGTTCTTGCATCTGCTTTATACGCTCTGTTCAGCTGAGATGATGAAATCCAATGAATAACATGTGGATACTCTCATCCTTTAGCTTCCACTCCATTAGTAATGTTGACTTTCTCCACATTGTGTGACACCAGAATTCCCGTGGACTCTGTTGTGAGTGCTGCTGTCATTACAGAGCACATTCTGCCATTTAAGTGTTGATTGCCTGCAGACAGTCAATCAGACTTCGATGCAAATGAGAGCAACATGACAGGGGTCATTAAATCTTGGTGATTATTTAGAGAGCTAATGGTTAAACATAATGATCCGATAAAATGAACTGCATTGTGAAGGAAGGTGCATGCGGACTGAGGGCCGCAGGGAAGCAGGAGGAGAGCTGAGCGTGACGGTGCACAATGAAAGCCTCACCAACAAAGTTCTCTTTGATAGTAGCTCTGGCTTGTTGAACCCTCTGATGTGAAGCTCCACCACCAAACTTTCCTCCAAAGCCAGGCTAGCTGTTTTTCTGTTTGCAGTTGTTATGACAAGCTAAACTAACCAGCTTGAATACAAGGTAATTTAAGAACACAAAAGGGCTGCATATTTGGGTTATGTTGGGTTGAAAGAGAGTTAAAGCAGTGTTTTTTGCTATAAAAGTGGTCTGACAAGAAGCCCTTCATGAGCTCCGAAGCGGCCAAATCGTCTGTGTAAAGTGCACGGGTACAAACAGCTGCCATGCATGAAAAATAATAACAACACATGCCTAACACAGACATATTGAACTGTAAAGAGGAACTACTCTAAATGTGATATGTTTGGTAAATACAGTAGTTGATTTCCTGCTAATTTGGATGCAACCATTGCATGCAGTCCATTGTAAACAACCTTTTTGAAAACCCCTGGGTCCGTGAAACTCATTCAAGGCACACTTAATTCTAAAATATGCTGAGGTTTTTTTTTTTTTTAGATGTGTGGATGCCTCAGAACAGATTTCCTCTTAAATGCATTTTCTCCGTTTGACATCCCGAGGTCCCACAGCGTGACTCCACTGTGTTTTACAGCCTCCCTGATGTGCCAGCGACAGGCCTGTTTATCCTTCATTAATCTCTCTCCTCTGCTTTTACCCCCCGCTTAATGGTGGCGTTTATCCTATTAATGTGTTGTTTGCTGGGAAAATCCTCCAATAACATGATCCAGAGTCAAGGTTACTAATGTATTGATGTGTGTGTGTGTGTGTGTGTGTGTGTGTGTGTGTGTGGGTGTGGGTGCGTGTGCTGCACTTAGGGGTTGCCATGGAGTCAGTGATTAATGGATGGAGAAATAAAACCATTACAAAGATGATACATGATACTTTAGGCATGGGAGAAACTGTGATGAGAGATAAAGTGCGTGCGTGTGTGAGTGTGTGTGTGTGTGTGTGTGTGTGTGTGTGTGTGTGTGTGTGTGTGTGTGTGAGTGAGTGTGTGTGTGTGTGTGTGTGTGTGTCTATGCGTTTTAGATTTTTTTGTCATTAAAGATTTGGTATTATCATAGATGGCAGTTTGACAGTCAAACTGTAAAATTGTAAAATGTTGTCCTCTTGTGTCCATATGTACATACTAACCAGTAACTATAGCTGTCAGATACATGTAGTGGAGCAAAACTACATTATTTCCGTCTGAAGAATAGTTGAATTTAAGCATAAAAATAAAATATGTAATAAAGTAGAATTACCTCAAAGTCGCACAATTGTAATCGAGTGAATTTATTTTCTGCCACAATTCGTCTTTTATTTATTCAAAGCATTAAGTATCTGAGATCCAGTTATTTTGTTCACCAAACATTAAGGGAGAAAACCCTTGAATATGAGATCAAATTATAGATCTTACACTGCTGCATTAAGATGAGCAGAAGCCATATATGAAAGTAAAGGTACTCACATGGGCCAACAAAGTAGGTGCTTTGTTTAGTCGTTCACACTTCACACATCCAGACTCAGTTCTGTAGTTCGTTTTATAGGGAAGTCTGATACGTTCCTAAAATAGCTGTCATTCAAACAAAGCAGTGGTGGAAATAAAATGTATTTATTTATTTACTTCAAAGAGTAAGGGGTACTTACTTTCTCTGCGTTCTGCTTGTCCTCCACTACATTTCAAAGAAACCCGTTATAGGTTATATATCTACTTGACAGCTATCGTTACTAGTTTCTGTAGATAATAAATTAGCTCCACCTCGACCAGCTGCAACGTTAAAAATCGTCTTACACATCTATGCATTATGAATTAGTATCCAACTAACTACACTGAGGGCTATTCTATTGCATTTTATCTTTGCAATCTCTGCTCAGGAAAAATAATAATATTTCTCCCATCACTGTAATTAACGAGTATAGTTTTGTTATGTGACACTGGTCCTTCTTATTGAACTCAGTGTCATGCTCCATTGTGACCACTAGATGGCAGTGTTTGGCCATCCTGCTCTGACCGGATATGACTCGCGGGGATCTCGGGAGCAGCAGCTTCCAAACTGTGGGCGTTTTTTCTCCTCGATCTTTTTTTTGTTCTTTTCTGGGTGTTGCCTGCTCGGAAGTTTCACCGGGCGTTGCAGAGAAGGAGACAAACCGGATAATTTCTGTGACGACATTTATCAACTTTTCTGGACTGCAGTCGAGGCACCTCACGCTTTGTGCACTTTGGAGTCGACACCGGACCGGTTTTATTGTAGCCGCCGTTAGCTCGCTAGGCTAACTGGGGATCGAGCTGCTGTACCGTTGGCTGGAAGGTTCCGATGCAGGCCATTAAGTGTGTGGTGGTGGGGGACGGGTACGTTAAAACATCCTTTTTTTAATCATTACTTCGACCTGTAAAATGTCCCGGTTTGACTCGTGCAATACGGTTATTTAACAGTTATCTTCGTTGACCCAGTTACCAACACTAACGAGCCTCGGATAACATGGCAACTTGAGCGACAGCTGTTGTTGTGCCTGTTCTCCGGTCCAGCTGGGTCACACGGATTTACCTCCATGCTGGGTTAGTTAGGTGTGACTGAACGGGTCACAGCGTGTCAGTTGACGGACATGGTGCCGTGTCGACAGCTACGGGATGACTCGTCGTGTGTGGAAGTTCTTGGGTTGTTCACTATTGAATTTATCTTAAATGTCACACTTCATATGTTTGTCATTAACCATACAGCCACGTGAGGCATTGGAACAAGATTATTCTTTTTATTGTTATTTCATAGGATATCAAAAATGCAACAAAGTCCCACCCCAAATGTATAGCACCCAGTAATTAAAAACAACTGAATACCAGTAGGTATCCTATATAATCTGAAGAACCCAGTCCATTTTGGAATTATATAAAAGAGAGTCAAATCTAGCATTTATAGTCTACAAATCATGGCTATTTTTCCTAAACCGGTTGAAACAAACTGTGGTCTCTAAATGCCTCATTCCTCCTTGGGCAGGAAATGTAAAAAAAAAACATATATTTAGTAAAATATTTAGTTATCAGAAGTTTTAGAACATTTGAACATTAAAGCAGATAAAAAGCTTATGTTTGAACTTGGTTGACTTCAAAAGTCTACTTCAAACCAACATTGTAATGCATAATTCATTTTAAATGTCTGATAGGAAAACGCCATATTTAAGATTTCTTTTAAATCTTGTGTCATCGTTTCCAGGTATTAGTTCTGACCTCTGATAGTTGACAGTATTAATGGCATTCAATGTATGCAGACGTGAATGCATTCTTTGACCCAATCAGATTTACTTAAGTCTGTAAACCATTTTTCAACTCAGCTGTGGACATTATCACGAGTTTGTATTATAATACAAAGTTACACCCCTACAGTTTTGTTGTCAGCTTTTTGGTACGTCCCATCGAGAGAAACGGTTAACCATTACAGCAGATCATTGAATGTAGTAGGTCAGTATATTGCCTGCGAATCTAGGACAGTGTCTTCTTAACCCAAGCTCAGTACTGGTAAAGTCATGCTTGAAAAATGTATAATGTAATTAGCACTCAAACCCTAAAAGCTTAACTCAATTGATAACAGTTAAACCAGGCTTTCCTTACTTGTAAAGATACCACATATTCACTATAAAACTGTCTCGCTCTTAGCTTGATTTCACTGAAGAATATTCTGTAATGTGACAACAAATCAAGCAGCAATCTTCAGTCCTCATCATTGAGTTTTCTCTGTCAATCTTTGCTCCTCTGCTTTCTAATCCCAGGGCTGTGGGTAAAACATGCCTGCTCATCAGCTACACTACCAATGCCTTCCCTGGAGAGTACATCCCCACAGTGTAAGTAACACACACCTCTCATGAACAGCTGTGAGATGGTCAGAAATTGGTTGAGAAATGCATTAGCATCAATGCACAACTTAATCTCTTCACTGTATGTTTGATTTGGATCCTAATGTGCACCTCCCCCGTCCTACAGCTTTGACAACTACTCTGCCAATGTGATGGTTGATGGGAAGCCAGTAAACCTGGGCCTGTGGGATACAGCGGGACAGGAGGACTACGACAGGCTCAGGCCCCTGTCTTACCCTCAGACGGTATGTATATGCATTCACGCATCGTAGGAACAACTGCTCGTCTCACACCACTGCCGTGCACAGACTAGTATCAGCCAGACAATGTTAGCATGAACACTGCTTTCACTTCAGCAGCAGTTGTAATGCTTAAGACTGAGTCTTTGCACTCAGCAGAGTAGAGCCCTGTATCCATAGTACCTATACACTGTCTGGAGGAAGTGAAAGGGAGCCCTTGTTTGCACTCTTTGTCCTGACAACAATCTGGCCTCTGTGCCAACGACTCACAGGGAGCTGAAAGTGGGAGTTTATGTGTATTTAACCAACAGAGTCCAGATTTGTCTAGTTTTGTGAACCCTCATGTCTGAACCTTTTCAGTCTATTAAGTCAACATTGTCTATCCGCTTATTTTCAGCATCGCACTGTTGATTCATCGTAACGTTAAGATTCTTGTACCAGTTGTAACAGAAACGTCTCCACAGTGAGGATTAAGTTTTTAATGTTGTGTTGATGTTTATCATTTTCTCTCCTCAGGATGTGTTCCTGATTTGCTTTTCACTAGTCAGTCCCGCCTCCTTTGAAAACGTCCGTGCCAAGGTGAGAACAACCTGCTCTTTACAACTGCAGTGTGTCACATCTGTCGATAGTCGTAATATAAGGTCAGCTGTTTTCCATTACATCTCACGGTCAGATCTGCATGTGTGGAGGAATAAGAAGAACTCTAAAGCAAACTTACTCAGAGAACTTTATTTTCAGGTATTTAAGTTTATAACGAGATAGAAAATGCAGAATGTTATGTACAAGACTTTCAAAATGTTGTGTGTGAGGTAATGATGCTGCCATAATAAACATATTCCCAGGCAGAGAACCACTGTTTGTCAATGTTGGTCACGTGCAGGTTCACCTCGACTTGGCCATAATTCAGATTTGCGTATGGCGCATTGTATTGCTTTATGAAAATGAATGTTTGTTTTTTTTCTCCTGTTAAAACTACCTCATAGGTAAAAGTTGAACAGAAGAGGATTATTTGGAGTTCAGTAGATAAAGTAACGGGAATAAATGCCATACATTCTAACAGCAGGACTGAAAAATGTTCATTGAAATCTCTTTTTTAATGTCAATTCACTCACGTTTCACGCTATCTGCCGTGCTGTGCCCCTCTCTCCTCCCCCTCAGTGGTACCCTGAGGTGAGACACCACTGCCCCAACACGCCCATCATCCTGGTGGGCACCAAGCTGGACCTGAGAGACGACAAGGACACGATCGAAAAACTCAGGGAGAAGAAACTCTCCCCCATCACCTACCCTCAGGGCTTGGCCATGGCTAAAGAAATAAGTCAGTTCAAACACCACGCATGCACAGATACAAACATTTAAATCATCTTAAGGTCAAGGCTGTTACGGTTACAAAATGAAACACCCTTTTTTTACAGTCGTGTTTAAGTCATACTGTTAAATTGATAGAAAAACACCTGCTCATCTTACTCAAGCCTTAAAATATCTACTGTATGTACGAGGATGATGAACCAAAAACAACCTGGTTTGCTGACTTGTTCCTCTGCTCTCTCCTCTCCTCTGCCCACCAGGCTCAGTAAAGTATCTGGAGTGCTCCGCTCTGACGCAGCGCGGCCTTAAGACGGTGTTTGACGAAGCCATCAGAGCGGTGCTGTGCCCCCCGCCCACCAAGAAGAGGAGGAGGAAGTGCAGACTATTCTAAGGGACCGCAGGGAAAAAGAAAACACGGTTGCAGTAAGAACTCGCCTACTCGGAGGGAGGAAGATGATGGCTGGGTTCCCCAAATATCTATTCACCCCTTGTGTCCTTGCTTATGTAGAAGCTCTGGTAGTTCACACCTCCATCTGAAAAACGTCACAGATTTAAGCAGCTTTCAGCTCTGGTTTCTGTTTACTTACATCTGTTTTGTGCTTTCAGTTTGACGGGAATGACGTGACTTTGTTCAGGCCTAGGGGAATGTGAGGGTGGGGATTTGATCTGGGGTTGATTAGGGAGAAAGAGGGAGGATTTTACAAAAAAAAAGCCATTTGTGTCATTTTTCTCAGACACTGTGGAGAAACACTACTCGAATGTGATTTTATCATGACATTACTGTGGATTTAACTCTACAAGAGAAGGAGGTCCTGCACTGCACTGGTTCCCCCTACACACTAAGAGATTCCTGCTGCCTTGATGAAATTTTACTTTCAGAAAAAAAAATGTAGTTTAGAAGTTTTAATGTCTCCTGTTTCCATCGTCATGCCAGCTCTGCTTTAGAGACCGTTTTGTTTACATGTGTCGCCAAAATTCAGTCAATGGTCATTACTGTGTAGTCACTCCACGAATACTAACATGTCTCTTCCTTTTCATTTTGTTTTAACGTGTACAAGATGACGACATGCAGAAAGAGTTTAACCCTCAGATGACTTATTACAATTGTTGCAGCAGCTGCTAAGATGCGTAATAATTACTAGTCTCCATAATTAGCGAGCATTTAAAACAGTCTCTGCTAGATAATTATCTTGTTTCGTTCCTAAAAGCTGTCTAGATGAATCCATTTCTCTCTTCTTGCTGCGTGTCAAGACACACACACAGTATTTCATGACTGACTGTCGAGCATGTGAAGGTGCAGTGCAGCCGGTGTTGTTGTGAAGGTTCATTCTCAATCTGTCTGTAAAAGTTATATCATCATTTCATGTTCCCACTAAGTTCTTGTTGATTTTGACCACATCTATTCCCGTGTTTTATGAAGTCGAGGAGCTGGTTTATTCACGCTCGAATGTTGCAAAAGATTTTAATGTTTTTGTTATACAATATGAGCATTAACTATTCAGCAAATACCTTTTATTTTGTAATGAGCAATGATCAAATTGCATGGGTGCTCTGGGGAACCACTGTAAATCTGGATTAATTGTATCAGTGTTTCAATGGTGCAGTGGAAGTGCACACTTGGATTTACTTTCTTGCTAAATGGGGTTTCATTTTCGCATAATGTGGTGGTTTTTTTTTTTAAAGCAAATAAATTCATCGAAAATGCTTTGTGTAATAATTAATCATTTCTGTCCCAACATAACAGTTCAGGAAATAGTGTCAGACTGCAAGTAATGATTGTTTTATATCTCACAATATAGTATATGTAAAAGATCAAAAAAACAACAGTTCATTGTGTCAAAGTAATTAAAAAGTAGTCACAGGATGTTTAAAAAAACGTCATAGTAAAGTCTGTCAAACGTCTTAAGTCATAACAAGCCATTGTATAGCATGTAAAAAAAACTGACAAAATTAATTATGAAAGAAGACCTCTAAAAGAAAGATGTCGGAAAAAAAGTCATAGTATAGAATATTGAAAAAGGTCATTAAGTCATAGTATGGCGTGTCGGAAAAAAATAAATCATAAAGTCATAGTATAGCATGTTGAAAAAAGTTGTATTGTAGTTTGAGTCGCATCTTTTAATAGTTCACGATATGCTATTTACACAATTTTCTCTTGAAGCAAAACACTCAAACCAAATATTTTATGAAAAGCTACAAAAATACAGACAACCAATAGATTTAAATTTATTTTTTAAAGCTTTTATTAAATCAAACTTGATCACAACAGGTGTGCAACATGTGAAAGAAACTGGTGAACTAAGAAAACATTTGTTATATTTAGTCAGGGCTGTTAAAGACATGTTTATATTAACAGGTTACTGTCGGGACATTACACACTTGAATACAAGTCTGAGTTAAATCCTCAGTGCAACAAATCAGACTTTTTATTTTAAAGGTCAAATAAAAATAGGAGCATTGCTGTGGAAAACAACCATTTAGAAAGCTTCAAAGTATAAATTAAAAGGTAGCGCTTTGTAGAGTCTGCTGAATGAGTTCACAAATTTGATTCAGTTCACTTTTTGATTAAGACCAATCCAGCTGCCTTAGTCAATTCTGTCTTATTACAGTAATGTAGTGTTTATTTGTTACCCGTCTGTCTACAGGTAGGAAAGCTATATGGTTTAGTAATAAAAACAAATGCAAATTGTTATTTGCCCACATGGGGTGGTTAAGATCTCTGAGTTCATATGCTCGACGCCATTGGCTGACGCCGTCCTCAATTTTAGTCTGGACCTCAGCTGTCATCTGAGGAGAAAAGAGGAACAGGAAGACATGAGAATTCACATCACATTCACGAACATTTGCCTAAAACAGCTACTGAAATAACAACTGCTACTAAAACAGGGGTTCTCAAAGTTTTGATTACTAAATGCCAATTTAGAGAATTTCACTAAATTGTAATGATATAATATGCAATGACATTTTCAACAGTAAGTCATAGTATAGCATGTCGAAAGAAGCCATAAGAAAGTGATGGTATTGCATGTAAAAAAAAAGATAAAAAAGTAAACAGCATGTCGAAAGAAGTCATGGTATTGTATGTAAAAAAAAAAGTCATAGTATAGTACGTTGAAAAAAAAATCGAAAATAGTCATAGTATAGCATGACGAAAAGAGTAAAGAAGTCCTAGTACAGCATGTTGAAAGAAGTCATAGTATTGTATGTTGAAAAAAAACAAAAAAAGTAAGTTTAGAATGTCGAGTAAAATCATAAAAGGTTATAGTATATTATGTCGAAAAATATCATTGAAAAGTCACAGTATTGTACTGCATGTCGAAAGAAAGTCATAAAAAAGTCATAGTACAGAGTGTCGAAAAGTATAGAATGTCAAGAAAAGGCAAAGTAAGTAAGGTTTATCAAGTTATACGGCAGAGGCTTTTTTTGTCAGGTTGGGTAATCTAAAGTACAACGATTTGGACTGAACTATATTATTTCTTGTCCTGTATTATATTGCCTTGATCTTGATTAGCTTGTGGGCCATGAATGTGTAACAAAGAGGTCAGGGTTGAAACACATGGCCACCTCATGGTAGGCTGCCTTTGGCTTTCCATTGGTCAAATATCAGCTTAGCAGACACTGCATCTTCAACTCCCATTCCTGTAAATAAAACAGGTCATGATGTACTGAATTGTAGAAAAGTGCTTTCCACATAATATGGACTGGGCATATGTCAAGTAGTGCTTACCTAGGGATTTGAAGACTGTTGTCTTCTCTCTGTGTGCAGGTTTTGTCCCATTAATAACATCTCCAAGCTCAGCAAACACCTCAGCCTAAAACAAGAGATCTACAATCATATTTTCTACTCTGCATACATTCTGTAAAGGGAGCCAATAACACACCGTTCAGGTATCTTATTGAGGCAGTGAGAAATGACAGACTGACCCCAGAGAGGATGACGTCACCGGACTCTGTCATTGCTCCCTCCCTGCTGTCACTGTACACCACCGCCTCCTTCATCAACACATCGTCCATCTCCCGGCAGTCTGGCCTGCAAGCCCCCACCGCTGCTCAGCAACAGGAGAGGAAACACAGTGGGAAATGCTGATGTATAAATCTCACTTATTTCCTCTTTAATTTTTTATCTGCGTTATCATTTCTTCTCACCGGCCACGTGGGCTCCTGGTTTGACCCAGCGACCAAAGAGCACTGGCTCTGTGCTGCTGGTTACCGTCACTATGGCGTCTGCTCCCCTCACCGCCTCCTCCACTGAGACGCATGCCGTCACCGGACCACTGACAGAGCGGCAAAACCTCTCCACTCCCTGTCTCGTGCGGCTCCACACACGCACCTGTTGTGAGGATGCAGGGGAAGTGTGACAGTTGCACTTGTACATCACCATTCAGTAATCAATATCAATCAGTATCAATCTTCTCATATAACTCTGGGCAATGAAGCCAATAAGTTTATATATTGTACTGTAATTACCTCTTTAAATGGAAACATTTCTGTGAAGACATTGTAATGAGTCAAGGCCTGTTTGCCAGTCCCCAAAATGGCCAAAACCTCTGCTTCAGGGCACATCAGCAGCTGTGTGACAAAAACACAGCAGGACAGTGTCATAATTAGAACATCGCAAGATTACAAAACGGGCATGAATAGTAGTGGGAAAAATGGAAGTACCTTAGCAGAGATGGCCGAGACCGCAGCTGTCCTCATTCCTGTGATTTCGTCTCCATCAATGACCTGCAGGTTGGAAACATGTTATGTGGCCTGGCTTGGTGAGGCTGGTAAACATACCCGCAGGACCTAAATGTTTACAGTAGTTGTTTTTATGCGGAGTTACTAGAGCCAGCCTATTGTAGCTTCTTTAGAGTAATTTATGCATGCATTGGTTTTACTCACAGCCTTTACATTCCCATACTCTGGGTCCAGCAGCATCACTGTTGCTTGTACGGCTGGCAGAGTTGAACCAGCCTCCCTCTGGTAGAAACACACGAGCTTTGTGCACAGAACTCCATCATTCTCCATGTACGTCGGCATTGATCCTAGGAAGCTGTAAAAGTGAAGGAGTGTCAGCCAGCAATAGCAACAGTTAATGTTTAATTTATGTCTCAGGTTGAAGTACAGTGCAGGCCTACCCGTGGTGTTTCTGCAGGGGAAGCGTGCAGCGCACAGGCTGGATCACCTCTGCGCTGTCTCGTCTGGAGAATTTCCCCAAAGCGTCCTCCAGACGAGGGACCAGCTCTCTGTAACGCAACAGACGCTGCACTTCTTGCTTCCATATAACAACAGGAGGACCGGCCATGACTTCCGCCTCTGAGAGAAAAGTTTGAGCCACTCCCCCAAAAGGACGCGTCTACGGGCCGTAGTCACCGCTGATGGTTGAAGTTCCACACATGCGCAGTCCAATAATTGAAGTGCGCGGATTTGTGAATCATTGTCGCAGGTGGTTGAAAGCCGTCAAATGGAGATAGGCCCAATCCCAATGTCCCCCCTAAACCCTCAAACCCTGAACCCTCAAGGATTTACTGACGTCACCTGGTAAGTGGTTGAAGAGTGTGAGAGACTGTGAGGGCTTGAGATGGTGTGAATAGGAATGGGACAGCACTTTGTTGCAACATATCACGTTACCATGAAAACGACAGAAAATATGATGTACAATTGTGGGTATTTATTTTATACTTTGTACTCCCTGATTTGAAAGTATTCCTGGCTCTTTCCTCACAAGATGAGAGGTGATTTCATATAATCTATTTACTCGTTTTTGTCAAAACAGCTTCAATGACAAAATCAAATATTTGATGAATGAATAAATAATCTCTGATTTCATGTTTATTTTTTCTTCCATCTTTAACCCTTAATGTTTCCGAGTACATTTATTATGACAGGCTGAACACACTTGAGCCGTCCTCTTTGTTTACGTCTCCATGCGTCCACGTGTTTAACATCACATTGCAATGATTTGTGGGTAATTCCCTTAGGCTAAATCAGCATGACTTACGGAAAGGGTTCATAAAGGGCTCAAAATGTCTGCAAGAGCCTCAAACACTTGACGATTTCATAGTGTGACATCCCTAAACCCTCACGGACTTCGCGGGAGCGTGCCTCAAAGTCCGTGAGTCCATACGGGGGGACATTGGGATTGGGCCCACAATTGTACATCATATTTTTTGTCGTTTTCATGGTAACGTGATATGTTGCAGCAAAGTGCTGTCCCATTCTTATTTACACCATTTCAAGCCCTCAGTCTCTCACACTCAACCACTTACCAGGTGATGTCAGTAAGTCCTTAGCTGGTTGATGTATCAAGTATTTGAATAAATAGTCTCAAATTGAATCCAATATTTTCAAATAGGGTTAATATCTTAACAAACTCATAGGTATTAGCTGCTGTTGCATTTGGTTCCAATGAAAACACGCAAATGACCTCAGCAGCATATTGCCCTGCCTAGGGCTGAAATTAATTGTCATCCCCAAATGTATCAACTAATATCAATTACAAATGACACGGGACACTTCTGAGGTCGTTTAATTTAAGGTAAACTACACAATCTGAATGAAAACTTTGAAATTAACAGAACACTAGGGTTTAAATAAAAAAGTTTTATTATGAATCAGGTGATGCAATGGCAAACTGATACACAAAAGTAGACGCACTGTCTGAAGAAGTAAAAAAAGAAAAAAACATCTATACCCTCTTGTCATGCATTACAGCTTTTTTTTTTTTTTTTTACATCAAAAACAGAAGATTCACTTCAATCTGGAATTTGTCTTGTCCTTAAAACAAGGAGACGTTGTCACAACAGTGCAACAGAAATCAGACGAGCAGTCTCTCAATAGCCAATTGAACCGACTGAATCTGCGGTTTGAGCTGAGACCCCTCCTTTATGGTGACTGAGGTAGCTATGACGGGGCGAGACACCCCACAGGCCCGTCCCAGGGCCTGCTTGGAGCGGACAAACACGTACGGGACGTTCTTGTCCTCACAGAGCAGTGGCAGGTGGAGGATGATCTCCAGCGGCTCAGCATCAGCAGCCATCACAATAAATTCAGAGATGCCTCTGTTCAAGGTTTTAGTGGCTGGGGGAAGAAGGAGAACACAGTTAGTACGTGTGCACGTTATCACTATTACATCATCATTACTTAAATCAGTGTTCAGCAGACTTTTCTTTCTTGTTTAATCTATAGAAAATGTAGTAAAACAAAAATAGTGCAAAACATCTATCACAACCTCCCAGAACCCAAAGTGATCCCCTTAAATTGCTTGTTTAATCAAAACAGTTCAAAGCAAAATCATTGTTTGTAATCATAATTTTGAGAAGCAGCACCAGCAAATAATGCACGTTTATGCTGGACAAAAGTTGATTCATTGTATGATCGACTTAATCTATAACAGTGGTTTGATAAAGTCTTAGTGATATTACTTTACCAGGTCAGTCTTTTAAATGCACAGATTTGAGACACCTAACAAAACCCAGCTGTGTTTAGGACCACGCTTCACACACTTCCCTGATGTTACATTACCTCTGAAAGTAGTGGATAATCAAATTACTATCTTACATGAACCCACTAACTAACGTAAGTTACATTCTATTCGCAAGAGTTTGGTCTCCTCACCTTCATTAGCCCCCTTCCTCAGCTGCTTGTAGTTAGAGGCTTGCTGCACCAGGTCCAAGATAGTTTTGGAGAGCGTGGCGTCGGCCAGCGGGTAGGCCTTCGGGTTGACTTGGGGTTCAGACTGGTCACAAAACAATAAACACAACCACATTAACAACGGGAAGGAGGCACATAGAGTAAACAAACAAGTAGACGTGATGAGTTAAAGGTTAGTTCTCTCTGCAGCCTAGTTACTTTAGCTAACGTGAGCTAATAGTTAGCTCGTCTGTTAGCTTGTCAGTTCATTCTGAATCAATACTTACCATTGTGAATAGTTTGGTTTCTTGTATTCCGGCCCTCTCGGCGAAATGCTTCACGGAGGACTATTTTCTTTCACCTGGGCTAAAAAGGGCAACAAAAAGCGAGATAAGTTTTGTGTCAGTAATATTTAGTGGCACTACGAACTCTCTAAGCTCTGTTGCATGCAGCCAGTTCAAACGTTCACCCCACGTGTGGAATACCACACATGCGCACTGGCGACACACGCTGAAAACGACCGGAAATACCCTTTTTTCCACCCTGGCTGGTTGTTATTAAAGTAAATTGATAATGCTGAAATGTTAAGCTGTGTCTAACAGGTAAATATTGATCATACCAATAATACAACAACTAAATAATGACAAAATAAATATATGTGTCGATAATATAGAAACAACACAACAATGATATACTATGGTATAAAACCGAAAATAGTCTTTCTTAGTGAATATAGATTTATGTACATGACATTTAAGATGTGCTTGTATGTTTTTCTATGACTTGTGAACCTAAACAATTTATTAATTTATAAAATAAAGTAAAATCCCTCATTCAATCATCAGTAATAATCCTGGAAATATCTTGCCACAATCTCTGTGCATAATGCCAAAACAAATGTTGCTTGTACAGTCAATAAATCTCTTTCTTTCTCTACTGTTCAGTTTGTTGTTGTGTCACATTCATCTCCCTGCCAGCAGGGGGCGCACGCACATTATCCACGACGTACTTTTGCGAGCAGGGAATGCGCTAGGGATTGTGGGTAGGGCACTTTCACGTCAGCCATATTGCTCTGGCTGAAGGAGAGAGATGAAGGGGATTCGGGGAATAAGTCAGCTGTCGGTAAGGACTCCGTTACAATCCTTTAGCTTTGTGTGTCGGGACAGCGTTAGCAGTCCGTTTCATTCCTCGTGTGAGTGACAGACGGTGTAAACACTCAGGGTCGTGTCCGGTCAAGGTGTGATGATGAGCAGACGAGGAAGTAGCTAGTCGTGGCCTTTTGCTCAACCAGCAGTAACCAGACTCATAACGTCACATAATAAACAACAGACAGGTACACGTTTACATTCACTGGCAACCCCAATTTACTCCACTCAGTGTCTGAGAAGTGAGAGCTAGCTTCTTGTAGACTTGACTTAGCATCACCTTCATAACTAATGTTGAACACACTTGTAATGTGCCGACTGAAATACTGATAGAAATAGAAATATAGGATCTGTTCTTGAGCTTAAAACATGATCTTAATCAGCAGAATTATCAGGTTTCTGAGCACTTGATGGGCTTTTCATCCATATCTGCTGAAGAAGACCAAGTGAAAGCTCCAGAAGAGATAATAACTGGATTTTGTGTAGCGGGATTATCACAAGGCAGCAGTGCAGGGTGTCCAGCTACACTATATTATAATATGTGAGGAACCGTACAAACTGAATATTATTTATTTAAGTCATGGCGAGAAAATAAACACCACTGCTCCCATCATTTCACCATCTTACATGCCTCTGATTTCCCTCCCCTCAAACTTCCCTTGCATCAGTCAGCCATGGCAGTACAACACAGAGAGTTGTAATGTCCCGCCTTCCCATCTTCTCTATTTTTCCAGACGAGGCTTTACGCGGCTCAGGCTGCCTGTAAGGTGGAGTACACCGAGGCCGCCGAGCACGTTAAGTTTCAGCCGCAGGATGTGCAGGTCAGTGGTTGTTGACTTGTGTTTCTTCTCCGCAGAGACACTTCCATGTGGCTGCCAGAACAGGCCAGTCCCTTGGTCAGCCCCTGGCTGGCCTCAAGCTCTCTCCGGGGGCTGCCCACTCCTTCCAGGACGTCCATGTATGTTGGTGATGAGGATGGGTTGGCTCCGTCCAGACAGAGTGGTTTTTAAATCTTAGAATGAAGAGATGAGTTGGTTTTGTCGGAACAGATGTCGCTCATGTCTTTTATGTTTGAGCGTTTAAAGTTTAAAATGAGAATCATTGGCCGACATGTTTGAACTTAATGTCTGTCTATTCTTTATGTAATGGAATGATGAAACTTAAGGACATATCTGTGTCCTGTCCAGGTGACTAGACTGCCCAGTGGACTGGTGATCGCCTCCCTGGAGAACTATTCCCCAGCCTCCAAGATCGGAGTGTTTGTCAAGGCCGGCTGTCGGTATGAGACCCCTGAAAACCAGGGGGTCACCCACCTCCTCCGGCTGGCCTCCAACCTGGTATGAAACTGCACAGTTTGCTACAGTTTCAAACAACTGTTGGTCATTTAGTATTTGGTCCTTTCTCCCAGAGTTTTCACACAGTATTATTTATACCCAATGTCGAGCACTAACATTTTCCATCTGTCTTAGCTCGGTGTTGACTTGCATTTTCTGCTTCTCCAGACAACCAAAGGAGCTTCATCTTTCAAGATATGCCGGGGTGTTGAGGCAGTGGGAGGCAACCTGAGGTCAGCAACCTCTTAGAAAAGTCATAACAAACTATTGAACACAAGTTTCTTCCATGATCAGCATTCTTATCTGGATGTCTGCATGTTCCTCTGCAGTGTGACTTCCTCCAGAGAGAACATGATCTACACCGTTGACTGCTTGAGAGATGACATGTGAGTCTTTGAATAACATCAACACGAGTCACAAGTGAACAGGAATCGTGACGTGTCCCATGTTTGTAGATATGTTTTGAGTATCTTTTGGAACAGAAAGGAACTTGTAGTTTGAGCTTGAGTTACATGATTTTCTCCCTCTTCATTGCTCGTCTGCAGTGACACAGTGATGGAGTATTTGATCAACGTGACCACCGCCCCAGAGTTCCGGCCATGGGAGGTGTCAGACCTGACGCCCAGAGTAAAGAGGGACAGGGCCCAAGCTGCACAGAGTGCTCAAATAGGTGGGCCTTTAGTTCCGTTGCAATGACACAGACACCCACGTTCGCTTCTTGATTGGGTCTTATCAGTCACAACGTGTCCATCCGTGACCCAATTACATGATCCTTTTCTGGAAGAATACAATCAAAATCAGCACGGACTACCAGTGGTAAATTCAACATGGATAACGAATTACAAGCGCTGCTGATCTTGTTGTTTATCCGAGCAGCTGTTGTGCAGTTAAATACCGCCTTTTATAATGCTACTGATGCCTACATGTGCAAGTTCATTGAAAAGTAGTCCCGGGACTAAAATTGCCATAAACTGTTTGGTGGAAACATGGTTTATGGTTATTTCGCCTGCAATAATCTGACTTTGGACCTCATCCCAAGTATTGTTGGATTTGTTTGTCCACATTTGTTGATTAATGACCAGATTAATCATGACCAGACCAGATTAATGACCTCTTTCATGCTTGATTATACTTGTTGACAGTACTGCCACAGTTAAAGCTGCGATCCTTGACCTCGTCTCAGCTGTAAATGACAAGAAAGATGTCAAAGCATCCAGTATCTAGGTTAAACATTTTCAACAAAAGTCTGGTAATTCCCATAAAAATCTGTTATTTACTTAAGTGACAAAAGCAGATGACTTTAGAACCAAATTCAATCACTGTTTCTTGGAAGTCTCCACCATACAGGCAGATATAATGATTTATCAATTGAGAAGACATTGAAAATGTCAGCTTTAAGATGAGCATATTGCATTGTGATCGTGCCTCTTTCTGTCTTTTCCAGGTGTGATTGAAGGTCTGCATGAAGCCGCCTACAAGAATGCTCTCTCTAACTCCCTGTATTGTCCCAACCACATGGTCGGCAACATCCAGTCTGGGCATGTAAGTCTTTTTCAAATGTTCATTTCTAAAGACTTATGGTGTAAATATTACCCATTTAAACCTTTTCTAATGTTTGTATTTTTCCTCCAGCTGCACCAGTTTGTCCAGAACAATTTCACAAGCTCAAGAATGGCTCTTGTTGGACTTGGTACGGTTCATTATAATTTGTAATTTATAGTGATAGCAGTATTGTATGAACTTGATGTGTTTTTATGGCACGTTATAGTGAGTAATATACCCAGTGTTTTCCTTAATCGTTAAGTGTAAGATATTCGTCCTTCCTTCAGGTGTGGACCACACGGTGCTGACGCAAGTTGGGGAGCAATTCCTCAACATCCGCAGCGGGGCCGGCACCACCGGGGCCACGGCTCAGTATCGTGGAGGTGAGCTGAACCGCCATTTAAAAAAATAACTGCCACCGCATGGCTTAAACTTTGTAATGTAACGCCCTGAATTCCTCTCTCTAGGTGAGATTCGCCTGCCCAGCACCGGCAGTCTGCTCCACTCAGCGGTGGTGAGCCAGTCGGCAGCAGCGGGCAGCAGCGAGGCTCTGGCCTTCAGTGTGCTGCAGCATTTACTGGGAGCTGGTCTGCATGTCAAGAGGGGCTCATGCGCCTCCAGCAAACTGGTCCAGGGTGTTGCTCAGGCAACTGCTGACCCCTTTGATGTGAGTGATTGTCAGTTTTTGATAGAAACCTTTAAAACGGTTCATACGTCGAGGCGGTGACTGGTTTAAATCATGATTTCAACATTTATCCCCATTTCTTTCTTTTTCAGGTCAGTGCTTTCAACACAAGCTACTCTGACTCTGGTCTGTTTGGAGTCTACACCATTTCCCAGCCTGCAGCTGCTGGTGATGTGAGTATCCAAACGTCATCACAAGAGTCCGTTCAACAAAGTAGCTGCAGGAAACCGTAAGGTGTGTTGCTGTAATATCTGTCCTCCTCCGTCTCTCCAGGTGATTAAGGCAGCTCTAGCCGAGGTGAAGGCTGTTGCTGATGGTGGAGTCACAGCTGCCGACCTCACTCGGGCCAAGTAAGACATACAGACGGACAGAGACACTACTTTAATGTGTTGCCTCTTTATAAACATGTAGTCTAAATTATGAATGCGTTAAGAAGTCAATTCTTAATAAAAAAAACGGGTTTATCTAAATATCAAAGCAAGGAATCTCTGTCCATGTGCTTGTCCTTTGCATGTCTCAAGAACCGTTCGTCTGGTCTGCTTCAGTTTGCGAGTGTGTTGCTGGTAACTCAAGGGAGTGCATCGTCAGATGTGGTGCACTATGTCCAGATGGTGGCTCTAAAACCAACTTTACATTTTGGCCTGTAACCTTTAAACCGTACGTCTAAGAAACAAAATAGTTTGTTTTTTTGCCGCTGCTCTTACACATTTTGAGCAATCATCACCAAATGTAATACAGAACATCTCTGGACCGTCCAGAAAAGGTTGCTTTTTCAGATTTTTGATGTTCCATACAGTTTTACTACAACTTCCCCCCGAAGTTTGCTTTGTGGGCATCGCTTATATCATGAAAAAAATATATCTCCTGATAGCGTTGTCCTATTGCTTCCACATTTGGTGGAAATAGGATGTCTGAGTGATCATCACAGATTTGGTGCCATTTGGCCAGTAGGTGGTGCAGTTGTATCTAACTATAAGGAAGGAATTTGTGTCTGTCTCTGTATGTATGGCTGGCCTTTGCAAATCTAGTCATTCATCCAGTCAACTGGACTATTTAAAACATCTCATTTCACGCTCATTCTTAGCATTGAGAAGAAAACACATCAAGTCAAAGGTTTTCCTCCTAGTTTGCATTATTGTACCTTCGTCTCTGTTTTCTCTGCAGGGCCCAGCTGAAGGGGCAGTTCCTGATGTCACTGGAGACGTCGGAGGGTTTTCTGGAGGCCATGGGCACTCAGGCTCTGGCCGAGGGATCCTACCGCTCCGCCGAGGAAGTCTCCAAAAACATTGACAACGTCTCCTTGACTGATGTCGCCAACGTAAGACGTCTGGTTCTTGGTCTTTCATTTACTGTGTGAAAAATGTGTTTTGTCGTTAGTAATGGTGCTCTTAACTTTCTTCCTGTTTATTCGCAGGCTGCCAAGACATTTGTGACTGGCAAGAAGACTATGGCGTCCAGCGGCAACCTCGTAAAAACTCCCTTCGTGGATGAGCTCTAAAGCCCTTCCCTCGTTATATCTTGTACTCTACACAACAGATGTTGTTTCCTCTACATTTAGACAAAAACAGAAACAAGGCAGAGGTCAACAATGCTGTCGTTCTGAGGGATACAATGTCATGACGCCACTGGGTATTTATAGGTGTTGTAACAGTATATATTCAGTTGATGCTGCTCTGGCACATCACAATATTGTGCTCCACTCATCTGTCCACATTAACTGTATAGCTAATGTAAAATAAAGAATAAATTCTATCTACCTTACGGAGTTGTATGTGTTTTGTTGTGGTGTTTATGTTTTTGATACTATCATATCGCATGAGTTTCATCTTGACATTGGAAACAAGCATTTCACTAAAACAATCCTGACTCCAGATCCACTTGCTGGCTTGTTCTTTTGACAGACTAAATAGAAATGAACTGTCAAGTCAACATGGTTTTTACAACTTTGTAGTGTAAAAGAAACTGCCGCTTTGTAGATGTGACTACATGAGTGTGGAGGTGTTACTTAAATTGCCAAAATGCGCCCAGAGATGTTTTTGGGAAATCCTTTAAATGGTCACCCCTGCGTAATTATGACGATGCAAAAAGTACCAGCAGCGCGAGCAATTTACAGATTATCTCGCGAGAATTGTTCACTTCCAGACCTGGAGATGCGAGCTGCCTGCATTTGAGTTGTAACTGCGGAGAGAGGACCGTCCTGCTGAAAACACACTTGCTCCGCGTTTGAGAATGTTTTTAAATAGATTAACTGACGATATTCCGCATATCTCTGTGTCAGTGCGACAATGTGAAGCACCGGAAAAGCGCTTTTATTTTTTGAGTATGGGCGGCGTTTCCCGTCTGTGTGCGTCCAGAGGACAGAAACAGCTTCCATAAGGGGGGGGGGGGGGGG